CGTACTTTTGATTATTTAGATGGTTGACATGCAAGTTATGACGCAAGACCCGTTTCAAGATTTTTCACTACAGCTATCACTATTCTATTCATCACTGGCATGAGACTTTTTACATCACTTTTTCGATTAGGTAAAAAGATTGTTTTACGCACAAACAACCTTTCACATTGAACTTTCCTCTTGTGACTTTTAACATCGGTCATATTAATTTTCCTGGAGTACATTGACAATCGAGACTCGACATGATATTTTGTTTATACAGGCATGATATTTCCTCGATTTATCGTTGCAACGAAACGTTTCCTTCAACATTGTGGGATTAAATGAAACATTCAATGTATATATATGCGTATCCTTTGTTCGATACTACTATAAGTTATAAGAATACCGGCAGTATGTAGGTTTTTATATGTTGCGGAATTTTCAGCTTGTCAGAGTCTCGACATATAGTACACTTTCAGTGAATTTAATTACAATAAAAAAAAATTGACTTGAAACTCATTATAACATTTAAACTAGTGATCACTGGTGGTTAAATATTGCAATACAGGCTGAAACGTAACGCGACTGAAACTACTGAATCGCTACCATCCGATCCATAACCTGTACTTTGACTATATCTATACCTATATTGTTTATGTATATATACATGAGTTGCCAAGTGCAATGTTATAAAGTAAGTACAGAACACATGGATAAATCGAATGCATTCAAATAATATCACAAACTGTTATTTTATCTTTACTGAAAACTTCAATTATATTTCATCTGTTATCTACTTCTTTATCTACTTGGGCCCTGTAAAAAATGATATTAAAATTAGTAAACAAATTATTATTATCGCCTATTGGTTGCGAAGAATTAAAAAATTTTTATTCATGTATTTCTTTTTTATTCATGTAGTTTGTATTATTGTATTTCTTCATTTTATATAATGATGAGATACATATGTAGTGTGTATAAAATTGTATCTTATGCTGTCTTCTCTCATTGGTATATTCTCTCAATGCTATAAAGTCGACCAATAGAAAAGTTTGTTAAAGTGCAGGATGAATTGGTAGTTCAGCAAGCATTTAGAAGTGTGAATCATACTTTGCTCTTAAAAGTCGGATTTCTGATGCAATATTCGTTAATAAGACGTGAATGCACTGTATAAGTAGTACCAGAGGATTGAGACCCGCGTGATGAAGGTGCCGATCTGTATTTAAAGGCCAAGGAAATTAATAAGTTTCATCGAGAACGCCAAAGTGTTTAAAGCAACTTTCAAAATGACTGAAGAAGACTCGGTATGTAATCATATAAAAGAAATATCTTTAGGATGAGTTTGTATCGTATTGGAAAAGCATGGGAGCATGATCATCTTGACATACTTTCTGATTTTTTGAAAATATGCTAAAACCTATGAATAAAAAACTGAAATTTGTTCCCATATATATGAACATTTTGTAACGAAACTTGTATAAAATAAAGATAATGCTACTTTATAGATTCCAACCTCAAAACCATGTGGATAGTATTCGAAAGAATGTACATCTATCATTAGTGTAATATCTCTTGACACATATTCCATTAGCCTGGTTGCTATAACATATTCGATGTTTATAATGCAATATACTGTAATATTTTATGATCATTAATACTTCTAAATTATTGTAATATAATATTTAATCTATAAAATATTTCGAAGCACGGTTAATGCGATATATTTAAACAACTTTATCAAATTTTTATATGAAAATATATTTTTGTTTGAAATAATAATCATTTTGTTGTGTTAATAAAACTACAGTGTTCTATAAATATGGTATATAAATAGAATTCCACATAATATTTAAAGATTTATTGAAGAATTAAAAAAATTCTTAGGTATTCGATCCTACTTTGAAAAAGAAGAAGAAGAAGAAGAAAACTACTTTTGATCTTGATGCTGCATTTAATGAAGGTGGTAATACTGGCGATGCAATGGAAGCTACCGGTGATAAAGAAAATCAGGAGCCTGAACCTCCTACGCCAGCTGAGGATGATGAAGCATTGGATTTAGAAAATTTTGGAAGAAAAAAAAAGAAGAAGAAAAAAGCATTTAATTTAGATGAACTTGATGCGGCTCTGCCTGATACAAAGAAAGAGGTGGATAACTTTGTATATAATTATTATATGCATTAACAGTATATTATATTTACTTATTCATATGTTTATATATTTACTTACTTTTAAAAGGATGTTGTTGAGCAACAAACAGAGGAAGTTGTTGTGGATGATACCTTTGACTTAGATATGGACTTCTCAAAAACTAAAAAGAAGAAAAAGAAAAAAAAAGATCTTGATGAATTAGTAGCTGAGGAAGAACGTAAGGACATTGAAGATAAAGAAAATGGTAAATATTACATATTGCAAGAGTATTATAGTTTGGGGTAACTAGTTGTTTATGTTACTCATTATTTGTTAACATGCTGCACTGAATCTGAGCGAAGTGCAGAGTATGGTAAGGGATATGTTTGCTGTTTTCTATATATATATACATATATATATATCACATATAATAGTCACAAGTACATATATCATCTACACTTTCATAAATCTCATTTTAATGCAAAACATAAAAAATGATTTCTTTTATATTTTATAAAAGTTGATTAATAATCAATTTGAAAAAAAATTGTATTGAATATTGATAATAAGAAATTTAATGTATATTAAACATTGAATAAGAATATTTCGATATACATTGCAAATAACAGGAAACAAAGTGCCCAAGGAATCATGCCTTCAACTTGTTTTCTCTTAAACTAATATTTTGGTAGTTTTATTCAGTTATGATAACATTATTTCTGTAAATTATAGTATGATAGAGAGTCAATTATATTTATTAAAATAATGTTTTCTCTTCCTTTAAAAGCTGAATGTATCTGCTGCTGTATAATTGATCAGTAGTTCGTATTTTTTACATGCGCATGTCTAATTTTGTTAATACTAGATCAAATAAGCAAACATATACATATATATAAATGTAAATAAATTTCATTTAGAAATCAAAGGCAGAAAAAAAGAATAGTACAATTAATGAAATTAGACATAGATTTATTTATTAAATTTTTTATTGTCTTCATCAATTTTCAATCAAATATTAAATGTGTACTATATTTACCAATAGAGGAGACCAGTTGGGTTGGTTCAGATAGAGATTATACATATGATGAACTGCTGGTAAGAGTATTTAATATTATGAGAGAAAAGAACCCTGATATGGTTGCTGGTAAAAAGCAGAAGTTTGTCATGCGTCCTCCTCAAGTAGTACGTATAGGCACCAAAAAGACATCTTTTGCTAATTTTACAGAGGTCAGTTGCATTATAATACTTGTTTATTTTATTTATCAAACTGTAAATCCTTTCATTATTACTTATCTTATGACTTTTTAATTCTAGATATGTAAAACACTTCATAGGCAACCAAAACACTTACTGGACTTTTTACTTGCTGAATTAGGAACTAGTGGTTCTGTTGATGGAAACAGTCAACTTATCATTAAGGGACGTTTCCAACAGAAACAAATAGAAAATGTTCTCAGGAGATATATTAAAGAATATGTTACCTGCCACACCTGTCGTTCTCCAGATACCATTCTTCAAAAAGATACTCGACTATTTTTCTTACAGTGTGAAACTTGTGGCTCAAGATGTTCAGTAGCTAGCATAAAATCTGGTTTCCAAGTAATTATTTTTATTCTCAATATTAGTATAATTTTCTTGATATTAACTCTTTAATAACTATCTTAACAACCAATTATTTATTTTAGGCCGTCACAGGAAAGCGTGCTGCTATTCGAGCAAAAACTGCCTAAAAAATTTGTCATATGTCATGTTTATCAATTTTGTAGCATAATTTTGAAATTATCAGAGATTTCTTGTGTCAGAACGCAGTTTTTACTATATCTATTATCTGAACACTCATTTTTTACTTATGAAAACTGAGGATTGTCAGGATAAAAAAGAATAATTGTAAAATTTACAGCACATCACTTTTTATCAATTCGCAACAGACAAAAAGAAATTATACAAAGTACTGTTTCTGAACAAATTTTTTCAAGTCCCTCAACTATTTTTAATATTTTTATCTTACTTTTGATTTTAAAATCTTTAATATATTGTTTCTTCCTGGAATGCATATATAAAATCATATAATTTGATAGAATTTTATTTTTTTTTTACGCATTTCATTCCTTTCGTAATGACCGATGCGTATTAAACACTTTCGAAAAGGCATATAATTGAATTAAACACACTATTTAAATAGCATGGATAAAACAGTCACACGATAATACGTAATGCATTATCCATTTGTCTACCATTGTGACATCAACATCCTGTATAAAGAACGATTAGGTATAAAATGGTATAGATTACCAGTTGTTAACGATAGATTTAAGCTGGTAACAATTTGTTATATCATTTTCTGTATACAAGAAAATTGTAACATTAAATTCAAGTACATTATTACGCATGGCCAAAAGTATTATTCCTGATATCTTTTCATGAGAAGTGTTGCAATAAAATGCAGTGATTTTTTTAAAGCGATCAATGGCTATCTTTCTTAGCTAATTTATTCAATTGTATTTACTAGGTAATAAATCTATCTTAAGAAACTTCATTACTTCTCTTATATTTCATTAATAACACTGTAAAGATATTTGTATTTATTAAGTTTAATTCTAGTGTATTATCATGACTTATGGTTTGTTAGAAGTCATTTATGTGCAAGTCACAAATATTTTTTATTAGAATTAATCTGATGTAAAACTTGTTTATTGGAAGCATTGGTTATAAAACGATGTGCAATTTTAATGATTACAAATGTATATTATAACGATTAACTTGAATATATATATTAAATTTGAATAATTTTGTGCTATTTATATATATTAAATAATACAATAAAAATTATGATTTTGTGATTAAAAATAAACATAGAGTTTAATGGATGTAAAGCACTAAAATCGTATTCATGTAAATGATTAGAAATGTATTATTTTGTTGCATCAGAACTGTTTTTTAATTCAATTATTTTTTTCTTAACATAAATACCAGTGTCTATAAGGCTTTGGAATATAGAAATTGGCATGTTCGGCATTGGGAAATCTCTGAAAGGGACCCATACTCGTGAACCATCTTCATATTCTTTTAAATAAACTGGTTGTGAAAATACTAATCCCTTTGGAATACCAAATGAACCTAAAAGACGTAAATTATTTCTAATTTCCCTATTTCATTTTTTGCAATTCTTACTATTTTTATATTACCATCAGATTCAATTCCTAATGATATAATTTCATCCCTGATGCTTTTTTTATTACTATACCATAACTTTAAAAGATCACAAATTGCTCTACATTTTGGAAAATCTTCTGATGTGCCCATTTGATATCGAAGAAGGGCCTAAAAAAATTTCTGCTGTTTCATATTATTTAAAAAAGTGCAACAAGTTATGTACCTTGCGTTTCAAATAGTTTTTATAAGGATTTTTATCATGTGTCTTGTAAAAAAACCACCTCAGTTCGGAATGTTGAGTTCCAAGTGGTAGTATCATATTCTCATTCGAATTTAGAGCTCTTTTATTTGGACAATAAACATCATATTTTTGAATCATATGGTGAACATCTACAAAGTGATTGATTCCTATAATTAAATGTAATGTTTTAATATATATGCAAAAAAATAGAAGAGAAAATATCATGGTATTCTGCTTTAATATATAAACCAACCCAAGAAGCCCCAAACAGGTGGACAACCAAAATTTTGCAGATTAAGACCAAGTGAATTTACAAATGTGTATATAAGTTCTAAACCATAATGAGCACTAGCAACTACAATGTTTGTGCTTGATAATTTTGTAACAAGTTCCATCATGATATTGGCGTAAAAACATGGAAGATTCATTGAGCAGAAAATTACCTTCATATGTGAAGGCGCATGTTCATTTATATGTGTACATAAATTTGCTATAATTTTATAATTACGTTGCAGCCAATTATCTGTACCTTCATATTCTTCTCTGAAAAATGCGTATGTAAATACTAGTAGACATAATAGCAATGAATAAAAACAATATTAATAGATTTACCGTGTTAAACTGTCAAGGTAAATTAATATATCACAGTCTTTTAATCCATCAGGGATATTTTCCACAATATGTACTGTATTTATGCCAGCACCTATTGTTCCTGCATCTCTAAAAATTTTCCTAAGTTTAAAGAAACATCCTGGTTCATCATACAAGTTAATAACAATTCCATGAGTCATCCAGAGCTCTTTTGTCATTAATAACTGAGGAACAAGATCGGGGCACATTGATCTTCCTGCTCCTATTATCATTATTTGACGGTATTTTTTTTGTATTTGTAATGGTTTGCTTCTTTGTTTCTTTATATTACAAGCCTTTATTAAACGAACTTAACTTAGAAAAATGAACTCTTAAATATAATATAGAAATTCTTGCTATAAAACGTTTTCATACAAATAATAAGTCTGTTTGTAATGCATCAAGTTCTTCTTTGCTTAAATATAAACTGATGTCATAATAATTATGCAATAATTCCCAAAATTGGGAACTACCTCCAATATAAGTTACATGAGACCGACTAAGTCCAATTTCTCTCCATATTAGAGGAGATTTAGTGTGAGTCCATCCATGAAGATCACAAGTTTCTTTCAACCAACACTAGAAAATAAGCTTCATAAAGAAGTATATTTATGAATAAAATAATATTAACTTACATCCCATCTTGCAGAACTTTTACTAATACTTCTGTAATGAAAATTCGGTAATATCGTAGACAAACTTTCAGCGACGAAACATATATAATTGAAAGTACAATCTCCTAAAATACCAGCTATTACAGTCAAACTTCTATCTGTTGTCATTTTGTACAACAACAATTGAAAAACGTTTAATTGCTATTTTTGTGAAAATTTTTATAAAAATCCATCAATAAAATAATAGTGTGTTATTCTTACAACAAAATAATTTATTTATGCAAAAAAGGTATCATGTATCAAAGGTACATTTTATTATATTACTTATTCTTAATCTTCTTTTTAACTTATATATTTAATCACCTATTTAAAATCAATTTCATAATGTACTTATATAGTTTAACATAATATAATATTCTTAGATTATTTTATTCAAAAATTCCATAATAAGAAACTTAAAGCCACTGTTAAGTTAGATAACTATTCCATTTGTATATTTAAATTTTGTCATCATCATCTGATATTTCTGGTAAATCAGGATTTTTAAATTGTATCCATTCTTTATCAAATATTTCAGGTGATTTACATAATTCTGGCATTTCAATCTCAATTTGTTCCAGATCTATATAAAAAATTTGGAAAACATATATATATATATAATACATGAAAGATATATAGTTAATGTTTAATACCTGACTCAAATCCTTCATCTTCATAAGGTACTGTCTCACGTTCCTTCTTTACACAAAGTTCTTTAAATTCATTTTCTATAGTTTTAGTATAAATGTCATCTGTAAAAATATATTTCTATAATTTAATTATTCTTTCAAGTTAATTACTTTTCATGAATTATAATTTAATCAAGTAACTAAATATAATACCAAATTCAAGTTGCATATCATAATATGGTGCTAGACTTTCTGGCTCTGGGTATGATTTGTGAATGTTACTTTTTACTGGTAATGGTTTCTTAAAAATACTTTCACCATACGATTCTGGTAATTTTATATTTTTTGTATTAGATACTTTTTTTGGAGATACATCCTTCATTCTGTTGTAAGATATAGTTGGATTCTATAAAAAATTAAAAAAATATTATATATCCTATTTACACAAATTTGCAATGAGTTGTACCTTTAATAAAATATTTCTCTTGAGTGATATTACTTGGCAGCTGTCGTCTAACTGTGTTAGTTTAGGCTTTAATAATTCTTGTTGTTTACTGGGAGTACTACTTTGTACAGTAGTAGAAACATTTAAGTCAGACTTAGATCTAATTGACAATCCTTTTGGTTTTGATCGGCTAACATTTTTCAGAGGAGTATCATTTGTACCAAGAGAACTTTTGGATCTTGCCAAAGGCTTCATAGCTGGATCTATAATAGTTATATTATTAATACTTTTAAAGAATTAAAGCAGTTAGCATAAACTATTAGTTTAAAATAATATTTATATAAAACAAAGAAAATATAAATATTAACCCCACGTATTTTTGTTTTTACCTTTGTGAAGTTCCGATACTTCACCGAACAAATTAAATATGTTTGCCATTTATAAAAATTTATATGAAAAATAAACCCAAAATGATTAGAAAGATATTCTGAATCTAAAGAAAATAATTTAATGTTTCTAACTCTGCTTTTGAAAAATCTGTTTTCACTTCTTTTTCATAAGCTTTCCGTTTAATTTAAATAACAGTCTCTAAGCGAAACTAGGGAAAATTGGTCACACTGAATTCTTAAATTACTAAAAGTTTTTTTAGGTATAAAACAAAATTGGTAGAATAAAAAAAAAATACGAAAATACTGTTTTATTACTACCAGAATATATCTATATTGTATTCATCCATTATAATTATTTATGATAAAGTAAAATTAGAACGTTTCTATTGTCTTTAGCCTATAAGGATCAATAAAGTTTACACAAGAACGTATTTATCCATAATGTAATTTATTAAAAGAGACAAAGAATTGTCTGTAGCAAATATTTCATTAGGATAAATTACATTGATAATATATATAATATATATTTTTACATGTATAATGACTTATCATGTCTTAAGGCCTCTAAAATATATAGACAACCAAAAGCTACCAACTGTTTACAGTGGAATGCTTTGATTAATGAATTGATACAATAAATTGATCACATGTATGTACAATTATTTACTATATATAGGTATCAATGAAAGAATTGAAGCTTTTCATAAGACTCAAAATGAAAAATGCTATGCAAAGCTATAGAACAGATTGAAGTCATACTCAAGATGTAACATTTTGTTTGATATCTACAAAACAAAAATACATTAAATGCAATATTCTTTCATTGATACATATACAATTAAGTAAAATGTTTATAAATGCTAGATTCATTCCTTTGAGTTGTAGCAAAAAGAAGGATATTATTTAGTGGAAATTTGAGTTCAGTTTCATGTCAATATCATTATGTTTTTACAATAGAACAGTCTGTTGATCTCGCTTATATACCAGTAAGATGTAGACAGCTTCTTTTCATATTAACAATAACAGCAACATCGTTTTAACTTCACATGCTTTTGATTTTCTTAAGCCATTCTAATACTCTGAATTATTTGGAATACAGCTGAAAATTAGAAAATTTAACTTGTATATAGATGTGAACATTCTTTTCTATGTATTTTATGTTTACTGAATTTATTTATATTTAAATTATATTAAACTTACCAGAACCACATACAACAAAGATGAAGAGTGCTAATAGACAAGGTCCAACTGGAGATCCTTGATCTTGTGGTTTCTACAAATACAATAATTATTACATATCATTGTAACTTCAGTTATTATTACCAGATAAAGCTTGTAATTTGATATAATCAGTGAAATAAATAGATTTATAATAAAATGAAATTTATATAGTGTTTTACAGCTCATATTTACTTCATAAAAGATGTATAAATTAGTTAAATAATTGATTTCAAATTTGTAGCATAGATTCATGTCACATATGGTACAATTATCAATCTATTAATTTGTTACTTTTTACTAGTCAACAAATTTTTAATCAAAAACATTTTTCAAAGATCTAACTATGCTAGCCGAAATATGTATAACATAAAATAAAAAATATGAAACAATAATATTATTATAAATGTCATTGCACATGCAATCAATTTGGCAACCTTATTATAGTTTATAACCTCAAAATTGGAAACGAAAATAATTGTTTATTTTTACACAATTAACATATTTTAATCATCTTACTTTACACATAACTGTTAAAATAGATTTTATCAAACAATAGAACACAGCATACCGATGACTTTGGAACATTTCCACGAAGTGTGATGTTTTTTGTAGCTCTTTCGTTTGCGATACGCATTCTTTGTTTTGGTGCCATTTTTGCTGCTTTTTATTTATCGGAAGTGTTAAGTTTATAACTTGAAATAAAATAGAAAACAATTTAAATAGTATTTCAGTCACTGTACACCTACAACAATATGTAATGTTCTTGTAGTAATAAATAGTTGTGTATACTACACTCCGACCTGCTGCGTCGACGAGTACGCTTTGACACGTGAATACTTCTGAATGTACGACAGAGCTCTTAGTGCCACACTGGCACCATCAGAATCAATTCAACAATTATACTTTTTGTAATCCTGATCTTTTCTGAATCCTTTAATTATACATACAGATTGCTATATTATATCATTACTTATTTAATCAGTGATTACAAATAACATATTCATCGTGATATAATTTTTTATATGAAATACTTTTGAGCAACGTAGTATTTTTTTCAAATACGAATATCACGGTCTTATCCTAAATGCAAATAAGCGACTTTTTTCCGTGCGATATGATTGCAATCATATGTCATTCTTTGAGTTCCCAGTTAAGACCAATAAAGACATATAATCCGAGCTACATCACGTGGAAAAAGGTCGCCCGTTTGCATTGGGCTTTATACACACGTCTGGTTATGGTCATATAAGCAGGTCTGGACACTCCTATACCGAAAGCATTGACAAAACTGTTTATTTTATTGAGTCGACAAAAATCAAGATGGTGGATAAGAAAAGGTCTTGTCCTGCGCATGTATAACGCGACATATCAGTGAATGTATAGTGGTGCATACGACTGTGAGCCCCTCTATAGGAGTTGTCCGATCGCACGATCGTATGCAATATACCGCCCGTGCCCAACTGCGATCATGATGAATACAATAGTATTCTACTAATTGAACATCACTATCCCCATTATTCCTTAAAAACTATTTTCAGAGCTCAGCGTTATATTTGTTTCTTTTATTTCACTTGTCCTATTTCTTCTATTTTATTATTCAATTGCTTTTATACAAGCTACTGGCCTTAGAATTTCAATATCTTTGTTGATTTTCTACCTATTTCACATAAAGTTAAAGTTTTTATATAAACATAAGTTCTTCCTTAGGTCGTAGGCCACGGGTCGGAATTTATCCAATTAACAAGGTAAAGTTCCCGCTAGCGAGATAACACTGTAATATAGGTAGATAAAGATCAATGGTGTATAAATAAAAATAGATCATATTTTTGTTGTACGTAGAAATTTTATATTTCTTAGAACTGCTACGTTTAATAACAAACTGTATGTTCATTCAAATATTCTCATTGATATTTGTCGCTCGACGCATCGCATTAGGATAAACACATTCACTGCCATTCCTAAATTCCACAATCCTCTCGATTTACTTTTTTTCTCAGCAACGCTTAAACGTGTTCTTAGATATTTAGTCGCGTGAAGAGGATCACAAGTGAAAAAATCATTTTACCACCGGTTATAGACTCACAATACTTTACATTTTATCAATGCATTCACATTTCAGAAGTCATTCATTTAAAATAAAAACTATTTATATCAAAGAAAATATGTGATACATAGCCAATAGTAAAAAAATTTCGTATTATCCACATTCTTTCTTTAATCCTACTGTCTAGCTTATCTATAAATTAACGTTACTCGAATTATTGGTAATCAAGCGTTATGTATATAACTAAAATCTCAAAACAGAGTCACACAACTGGGGTACTGTTTCTAATTATGCTAACTAAAGTATATCCCTTGCATTCTGGATAGATCGTATCGAAAATTTATACTGTACAATTTATACCTAATAACATGTATCTTCTTTCTTTCATTTATTTCAGTATCGACATATTCCATTTTCGCAATCATAATTATTAGCATTCGTTGGTATTTTGGAATGTTAATATTTTTGATCAAGAATTCAGACATTTGTATTTGTTGATATATATTCTGAAAGAGGCAATGAGATTTCTTAAACATTTTTTTAATTTATACAACTTTCTTTCTATAAATCCCCCGAAAAAAGAATAATTAATAAGTTTCTAGTAAATTCAACAAACAAATAAAAAATTGAGCAACGTTATAAAGTTACCTGTTTTAAGAGTAAAATAGTAATTCTAAAATATTACATAATTATCGGATCTTGCATTTTGTGTAATACCAAATTGTGACTCATGAGATGAATATTATATATGACTGTTTGAATAATTGGCAAACTATTCGTTTCACAGATGTGTACTGTACTGTACTATAGGACCCATCTTCACAACTAAATTACAGCAAATAAATTAATCACTTTTTTTTTTAAATGAAAATATTATTATGATGTTACATCAATAGACGTAAAGTGATAAAATATTCACTGAATATTTTGAAGAAACATAACGATGTACCAAATATTTCTTTTTAAATATTTACGCTACACTTCATTGACATTAGTATGTTATTGATGCCGGTTTAATAGTCTCTTCGACAAGTTACATTTGCGCGTCATAACGAATAATGTAAATAACTTAAACTACCAAAAAGAGTCCTACTTTATAAAGACCGGCAGGTTTCACTCTGTATGTTCTCAATTTAATCCATCTTAGACATTACACTAGCATTGTGCTTTAGTCTATTTTAACTGTAGAGTAGATCTTTCGTACAAATGCATTAGTACCAACGTAACCAACAGTTCCACACATTATACCTAAGGCAAGACTGAACAATGCCATGTAACCAAAGTAAAAGGCTGTTTGGAAGAGACCGTACATTCTGGAAAAAAGAAAGTTTGAAATGTAATTTTATTTTTTAATCAATGTAATCAAGCATTATAAACTTACTTTGTTTTAAAGAAGAAGTAATAAAAGGAATATATGTAGACATAACCAGCGGTTGAGGCGGCCGATAAGAAACTTGTCCACTGCCTATAAGACAAGATAGCATATGTAAATGAAGAAACAATCATTGTTAAACAATATACATAATAAACAGTAACACAATGCTTACCATCGATAATCTTCGGCGTTTAGCAAAAAGTATGTACATACGATAGTAACACAAACAGTTACTATCATTAGAATAACGAATACTAGTAACATAAATCCATAAACATAATAAATTTTATATGCCCAGAATGAGGTAAAAATAAAATACCTAAAAAAGGATAAAACAACTGTAATATAATAATTTTACAGTATGTAAATGATGAAGCTTACATTTCAATGAATATCGATCCAAAGGGCAAGATACCACCAAGCATTATGATAACAAGTGGTTCCATAAACCATTTCTTTTCAGGAATAGGTCGAGGTACCGCGTTAACTCTGCATGGTGCGTCCGGTGTCCCAGCTAAGTTACGGCCTAATATGGTTCCAACTAATGTCAATGGTAATATAACAAATATACAAATACATGTTACTGCTACCTGTAAATAAAATATTCTTGTTAGTACATACAAGATACGTATATATGTACAAATGAATGTGTACTATGTAAATAATACTTTCCATAGAACCAAATGGTATAGCACGGCTAGCGTGATAATACATTGCAATGAAGTTAATGAAGAATGCAGTGCCACAGACAATAAGAGGTAACATAAAGGCACTGAGAATCATTTGTTTGATCCAAATACGTCCTCCCATACGTGCATATAAGCCTCCTCCCGCATAACCATTTATAGGTGATGTTGCAGCATACACAAATATTGCTATCGATAACATCGATCCTCTTTCTGTATACGGCTCTCCGAGGATAGCAAAAATAATAACACTAAGTACAACCACAGTAACCTAGGGTAAAAAGTCAAATTTAAAGTAAAAGAGCCTATTAGTACACGTTTCTTAAAAATATACTGTCCTAAAAATGTTTATTATTAAATTTGTAAATTTTGTATTATTAAAGTAATTACTTGATAGCCTGCGCCTATTAGAGCTGAAAAAAGCATTGCATGACTAGCTGGTCTAAATACATCTCCATGAACTTGTTTCCATCCATATTCATCTCCTAAATCTCGCTCCATATCATCCATTTCTTCATCCCTACTATATCTAGCATAATCTTTCCTTAACGTACGCATTAAAATCATTGAAACAAGCCCAACAAGAAATATTACCATCATAAAACTATTAAAAATACTGAACCAATGAATCTAGAAAAGATAAAGGACAATGATCAGTTTAGTAGTAATGTATAATCTTTAAAGCAATAGTATTAACAATGCTTGCTTAAATTCCAATTTGTTCAATGAATAATCGTGTAACAGATAAAAATTTTATTCTGGAAATATTCTCTTGTTCCATGACAAGGAACAAGAATTGAGAGAAAGCAAGAAAGACAATACCTCTCACTTACTCTTGCTATATCTATTTAGTGTCTTTGTCAATATGTTTACGTTACATTGAGCTCAAATTTAGGCAAACATTGCCAGAATACTTACTCTGTGTTGAAAAAAATTAGGATCCAGATATTTATCAAATCTGTCTTCAAATTTAACATTACTCTTCTTCCAGTTAACTTCATAACTGAAAGAGATAGCTGCATCTTGTACCAGTTTTACTTTATTTTCACTTGTCAAATTTACATCAACTATTTGCTTTCCATTATATCCTATATCAAATTTCTTATGTGTCCAAATGTAATAAGATACAACTCCATTATTTTCTTCTGGTTCTCCCACAACACCTAAATATTTTACAATAATCAATTGATATAACAGTAACACATTTTAGTATTGGAAAAAGGAAAACATTACCCCATATTGGTAGATCATCCATATACATCTTATACCAATATTGATTCTTCACTGCATATATGAAAGCTTTTTCACTTTCTTCTGTTAATTTTATTTGACAATAGTCCATTTTGGCGATATCAGCTATGAGGTAACCAAGTATATATGTATGTATTATATATATTACCCACATAAATACTTATAATATTTATCACTAACTAATAAAATTAAAATACCCTTAAATTCAATTTCCAGGCCACTAAATTTGAGTTCGATGCCTTGCAGTGCCTCAGAAAAGGTCTCATGATAATGATTAATGACATCTTTTGTACCCATACAAAAAGGTAATGAATAATATGAATAAGTTTCTTGACGGTTGTGATATGGTCCAACTGTACTCATCCATAGTACAACTTCATCATTATCTTCGTACTGGAAAGAAAATACATCTGGTAATACACATTCCTCTTATATGTAATAGAATACAATTAACATGTCTATACATCATAGTAGAACGAATCAATCTCTAGCAAGTAATAAAAAAATCA